TAGTCCAAGTGCATTTCCAACAAAGTTTCAGACCTTTTTTCGAACTGAATACTGCGTTCTGCCAGCAACCGATGCAGACCTAATTTTGGGGATCAAAATACCCTGATGATATTTTGGAAGTCACGAGCGATGGGTTGCAGCACTGCGCGGGTTTTGTAAAATCTGAATCTACCTGCAGCATATAAATCTCTCCCTCTCCTCCCTCTTACTTCATGCCCCAATGATAAGAAGCGTCAGTTGGCGTGCCCTGCGCTGTATCGTATACGCGTGCTGCACGCATACTGGTTCCTCACTCCGTGTAACTCAAAGTTCACTGAAATCTGGACGTCACGTAGGCGGGTGTATACAGGAGTTTTTTCTGTTCTTTACAATACTGGACAATTGCATCACGTGGTCGTCGTATGGGTTTTTCTGGTGTTTTGTTGCGCCTAGGCGCGTATAGACATGCAAGTGAATAAGTTCATGCATTTCGTGACCGCGTAGATAGTAGGACCTAAGTTTCGCACTTTTTGATGCTTTTTGTTGTGGTAGTGGGGCGCTTGCCGATCGCGTTACGAAAAATACGAGCTCGGGTCCAACGGTTAAGGCGTTGGAATTCTAACTACCAAGTCGTAGGTTACAGCCTCGGGGATTGCAAAACCTGGTGTTGGGTATGGCTGAATGATGATGGCAAATAAGCCAGCAATGCCCATTCCAGTCTTCCTTGTCCTTTACGAAAATGTAAATGTTTTTTTTCGTGTGTGGACTAGTGCGTTGCGTAAATATCCTAGGACAGTGTGTTAATGTAAATGCGACATGGGGGTCTTGTCCGCCATTCCTGACACTGCTCCTCTGGTCGTACTGCGGTGGATTTTCAGATTTATGCCCAGACTGATGTACAATTCTAGTGTTCAATTGCAATGGGACCATGCTAGCACTGTGAGTATAGTTTGCTCTTGGGGGTAGCTGGAAGACATGTCTTCAGTTCTGGAGGTGGTAATGTCTTCGTGGTGTGAGTATGACTGGACTGTTTTGTGTTTAGGAAGATGTCAGACGAAGCCACTTCGGGTTGTGGACGCCAGTGAACGGGTTGGACATGTTAGCAAGGGTTGGGCGCTGGCAGCGCGTTCGTAATTTTGCTGTCTTAGTCTCAGGCTGCGCGTGCGACCTATCCGATCCGCGCCCAAATCACCACCATGCGCAAACATGGTTTCCTGCCGGACAGTGATGGTTGTTGTCGAGCCAGCTCTTGAGCCTGTCCCCTTGAACCTTTTAGGTTAACTAAGAGCACCGGATTTGACACAGCTGCTTTGTATTCATGTGGCAAGCTGATAAGGAGTCTGTACAGGCCACCATCAGCCCTGTGTCGCCGACGTTCTGGGCTATCCTTAGGCGGTTTTCGCTGTCAGTGGAGTTTGAGAAAAAAATCTGTATACTTACCTTAGATAAGTGTTCTCAGCCAGCGTTGTCTATAAATCTTCTGTTTTTCGTGTTTTGTACGTTTAACTCTGGACTCAACCCTAAATACTCTTTCTTGTTAGAAACCAGATGCGTGTGGATTATTGTGACGATTGAGATATCCTAATGGCATCATGAGTACTTTCATATTTCGACGGAAACCTGCTCATTACTAGTTTTGGTGAAACTGTCGGTCTCTCTCCATATATTTGGGGGAAAAAGACGGTAGGGGACGTTTCAACATGTCAGCTTCACCACTTCTGACAGTTGTCTTTATTGTTCATTTTTCAAAGTCAAGATACAGAGCAAGTATCCATTTTATTTATAAGTCAGTCAAAGTCGGTCATCTTACTTGCCGCAAAATTGTTTTTATAGTCGCACTAGACGCAGGCAATGGGCTGTCGTCATGTAGCTATTAAAATTTTCTCCTGACTGTACTAGTTCATGATAATGTTAGCAGTTAAGGTTTTGTATCGCCGGCCGTTATGATATTTATGACACCCATTCCTCTTTGCGTTGAATTATTATGTCCAACGTAACGCCGCAGGACTTTTTAGGACTGGTGTAAGTAGAAACGTCTATCGATCGTTTTTTTGCGTCCAGAAAGCAAACTTACAACATAAAACATTTAATTGAATTGCGAGTCCTTTATGTGCTCCATCTGTAACAATTCAACATTCTAAACGTGTCCGTTCCGCCCCCCCATTTGTACTTTCAGGCTTTTCGTTTCTGTTCAGTCCTTCCCACCGTAATCGCGCTAGCTGTTTCCACAGTTGGCATTGTAGACTGCCACAGAATGTCACCTTTCAGGTCCCATCTCCTAAGTTGCGGCACCCAGCAGCCTAATACGGCTTGGTAGCTAGCTGCATGTTTAGGGAATGCTGCAGTCGAGATACCAGCTTAAATGCTCCCCGATAATCTAGCGAGTTTTTGTTTCCAAACTTCGGACTACTTTTCATTTTGTTTTTGACCATCTTTCCTGCACCTGCACTACTTGAACATGTCGCCGGGCTATTTACGTCTAGCTCAAGTTGTGGTCTACTTCGTTGCCGTACTATTTATGTTGGCACACAACCGCCACCCCCACAACTGCGTTTGTTTGAGCTGGAGTAGTTGATTTGGGAGTTAACTGTTTGCCACGGGTTTGTGGCTATTCTCAGCAGTGCGTGCTGTATCTTTCCCAGTTGTACAGGTCATGCATCGCGCTGGTACGTCTGAACCTTGGTTTCATGCGGCTTCTTGAAAATTTTCGGTACATTCGCCCTCGCTGCTTGCTACACTCCTAATTACTTTAGTTCGTTTGAAAGTAGTCGCAAAGCAGCGACGATTAACAAACTTATTTTCGGATATTTCATGGTCGCCATTTCACAGAGTTTCCACTGAACATCACTGGGCCTTGTGGGTCAGTTGGTGAGTGCGTGGCAGTTCACCGCTCTTCTAGGTACGGCTGCGCAGGTGTTCACGCGTAGTGAGGCGCGATTTGCACGACCTCATGGAGTCCAGTTGAGTGAGTCCCGAACACACAGCTGCACCGAATAAAAGTACAAATTCGGGCAATTACTCGTGTGCCGCTGCCCGAAACTGTCCAGGACGCGGCTCTAATTGCCTGTTCCCGCCTCCATAATGAAGCGGTAGTTGAGCCTAACCGAATTCTGACATCTCTGTAATCCACACTGTCAGTTAATTCGGTTGTAATTATGTAAAGATAGAGTGTTTAGCGCATTGTAGAAATACCTACATGATCGCTCCGGAGTGGTAACCCTGCCAATATACTGTTAGCTTAGTTTTCTGTTTTCCCATGTAAGTTTAAACAGAACTTTCTGTTTTGAAGGCGATTCTCGCTGTTGTTGTTACATTGAGTCAACGGTTCACACACACACAAACACACATAGAGAGAGAGAGAGAGAGAGAGAAAGAGAGAGAGAGAGAGAGAGAAAGAGGAAGAGAGAGAGAGAGTTAAAGTGTTGCCTGGGGCCCTGCTGCGTTGTGTTGGACGCAACTGCCACACCCTTGATCGCATTAACACTCGGACCGTGCTCTTCGAAATCCTAGCTTGCTTATCGGACATGAACCAGCTGCGGTATGGCGTACATAGACAACGACCTAGTGGTAGGCCTGCCATAATGCCCAAGCCA